AAATAATAAAACAAGGTCTTTGTCTGCAATGATTAGACATGGTTTTTATTATTGTCATTAGTGATTATCTCAATTTTGGCTAAAAGAATTGACAAAATCCTACACACTGTGCCTTTAAAGTCCATTTAAAAGTTTTAGAAATATTCTGTAAACAAATCAGTTTTTTTCCCTAATAGCTTTTGACCACCATAATTTAATTAATCTTTACAAATATTTCCAAAAGTACCTTTAAGCCTTTCCCCAGTAAATTCAGGCTTACACTCAATCTTGTTGGTCATCTTTAAAGCTACAAAACTCATTTAGCACATACATGTTGGGGGGTGGGGGGGGGCAACTAATGTCCAGGGGATTAAATAGAGCAAATGTGTGACAACACAAAAAAGACTGATCCCATGTGCAGAGTATCAGTTTCTGTACAGGGAGGGGGGAGGGGCAAATGAGGGAACTGATGGGTATAAGGGGGTCCTACGCTGAATAGGATACAGAACTCAGCTGGGTTTGGTTTTAACAGGAATGTTTTTGTTTCTGCTTTGTTTTTTATTTCCACCAGTTATGGTAGCATTCATTTACCTGCTTGWGAATTAGGTATATAATTTGTCCTGCATTCCCCCCGTTGCTATGGCCTGTACCATGGTTTGGTTCACTCGGCTGTGTGAGAGAAGCAGTTCAGTCTGGTTGAAACAATATAATGACTGAGAAACGAAGAGGCTAAACTTAATATGGGATAAACTCATTTGGGCCAATTTCTAAGTAAAAAAAAAAGCAAGGTTTAAAGTTAAAGCATACAGGTAAATAGTAAAATCTACCCCTCTTTACGTGATAAACTTCACTATCAAGTGCTGAGAAGATGCCCTCTCTCTGCATGACRTCGAGGCTAAAGACTTCTACCTGTACGCCGCACCGTTGATTTCAGGGTGAATCTGAGGCGCCTGCTGCTCCATCATTCCCCAGGGTGCTGTAGTTACAAAGAACTCTTTATTGACACAATTTCGCAGGCTGTCGGGAATACGGCCTGTGAAACACAAAGCATCAGTGAGGGAAGAAATCCAAATGCAGGGGGGAAAAAAGGAGCTCAAAGAGGTAGAGGTACCAGTGATGGCTCTACGAATTTCTGTGGCAGCGGCTTCTCTCATCTCCAGCGAYGCCTGCTCGCTGTACCAAGCGGTGTGTGGGGTGCAGATCAAGTTGGGGGCATCTTTGAGGGGACCCTGGGAAAAACTGTTCAGCATTGAAAAGGGTAATGCGGTTAGGTGACGTAATAAGAAGCTAAAAAGCTGATTTTGTAGCTGTAAGACAATGACGGCACCTGAAAGGCTCGGACTCGTGGACGTCCATGGCAGCGCCTCGTATTCTGCCTTCTTTCAGGGCCTGAGCCAGGGCTTTCTCATCTACGAGACCCCCCCGCGCAATGTTGACCAGGAATGCACCTTGACGCATCTGAATACACACAAGCATGAAAATATACCACTGATGCGTCGGTGTTGTGAAAAGCAACAAATGGTTTTCAATCTCAAATTTCAAGAGACTTACATTACTTATTCCCTTCATTTCAAAATTTTCATTAAAATATATATTTATTTTAACACAAGTAAACACATTTTAACTAAAATATTCACCTATAAAACATACAGACTGATTAATAAATTTTTTTAGTAGTTCCCAAACTTTTAATGAACACATGCAGTTCAGCTGCTGTCCTCTAGGTGGAAGCAGTGCCCAGGAAAATACTAAAAGAACTTTWACTTTTTAGTGTCTTTTACAATAGTTTTAAAGCTAAACATCAGTGTAATATAGTTACATTAGTGAGACACGCATGTCACAATGCAGGACAAACTTGTTTGGATAAAAAGATTTTATTATTTAAGTGAAAAGCTTGTATATTACCAACTGTTTCTCTCAGGCTGGAATGTTTGGCCTGACAGTGACCTATTCATTTCCCTAAGCATTTTAACCATATGAAATAAAAATATGTTTTAACTGCAAGACAAAGCACTTAGTTCACTAATAAATGCATCAGCCCTTATTATATTACTATTTGGTTAACTTGAGAACTTGACTTAATTTTAGCAAAGAGTTAGCAGAACAGCGTGCTTTGATCCCACACACACACTTTGCCAACATTTGGGTCACTCTGACCCGACCGTTCTAAAAGGACAGGAACAACGTATTATCCACCCCCATAATAAACATCAGCCCCGCTTTGCACGTGCTTGTTCCTGAAATGCATTAACGATAGTTTAAATAGCTTGTTTTGTAAGTTGCTACTAAAAAAGGTAACGGTCGCAAAGAACTGTCAAAACTGAGTAAATCCTCTAATCTAGAGACATATACTTGTTTTTGATTTTTTTTTTCCTACGATGCACTTATTTTGCCCCACCTGTTTGATGGTGAAGTCGTTGATGAGGTGGTGGTTGTGCTCRTTCAGATTGCAGTGCAGGGAGACRCAGTCGCTCTGGTAGAGCAGATCCTGCAGCGTGTAGACCCTCTGCACTCCGAGCGAGCGCTCCAAGCCGTCCTGGAGGTAGGGGTCGTAGAAGATTACGTTGAAGCCAAATGCCTTGGCCCGCATGGCCACCGCTTGGCCTGTTCGGCCTGAGGACAGAAACGGGCGGGGGGAAGAAAAAAGGTATGGACTGAATTCAAAGATTACTAAACTTGCTGCTTTAAAATCTCTAGAAGTTAAGAAAATCCTTCTGGAAGCTTTAAATGAAGTTGGTCAATGTTGCTTATTATGTAGGGACCCACTAAATGTAGTGTAAACATATAGTCTACTGACTGGTACTTTAATGGTAAGGTAGCAACAAGTGCACACCCAAACTTCCAGACTTCACTCATACAMGTCTTCAAAATAAAACATGTTAAAGCCTCTCATGATTAAATAATTTTAAAGATCTAATGTAGCTTTTTTCTCAATGGAAGAACTTAGATTTAAAACTGCTCACAGGTAAATGCCGGACATTAATCCTGACTGTAAAAATAACCCGTTTCCGATGGGTTTTCTAAATTCTTACCAAATCCAATGAGGCCGAGCGTCTCYCCMCGAATTCTGGCCGCCCCGGAYGCCACCTCCCGGATCTGCTCCACRCTCTGGACCCGCGTGCCCTCCCGGAGAGCCTGGTACAGCCAGGTGTTCCGYCGGTACAAGTTCAGGATGTGGCAAAGGGTGGAGTCTGCCGTTTCCTCCACAGCTGCCGAGGGGATGTTGCACACCGCGATGCCTGGAGAAGAAAACGGCGTATCGGAAAAAAAAAACACGAGCTTAAATGACAACATGAAATATTCAGCTGTTTTCTCACCACGCACGGAATAAAAACCCCACTGATCTGTTAAAAAAAATCAGGATTACCATACGAAATCCATTCCAGTGTGGTGAAATGTAATAGCGACAGTAATTAGGATATCACACTAAACCCTGCTCTCACGCTAAACATATGCTGAAGGGGCCAAATGGGAGCGCGAGGAAGACTTCTGTATGAGTTGGAGCATCTGCTCGGAATGTGGAATCAGTTCTATTGCCTCTCATGTTTACAGTTAATAAATCATTTCTACTACATATGTTGTTTGTGATAAGTTAATCTAGCCAGCAGAGTTTGGTTTGGCCTCAATGCAAAGGTGCACCATCCCTATCCATAATGCATCATCTCCGTTTTATTATTTAACTGCTGAAGAGTTAGGCCATATGGGCTGAAATAAATCGCCTAATTCATTATTCTTGGCGTGCGATCGCAGTCTGCTTTCGGATCAACCTCGGTCTGTAATCTGCCTCGTGTTGTCTGCAGCCTTTACCGAGCTCTCCGGCGGCCTTGATGTCGATGTTGTCGTAGCCGCTGCCGATGCGTATGATGATGCGCAGCGCCTTGAACTTCTCCAGGTCCTCTCTGGTCAGGGTGATGGTGTGGTACATCATGGCCCCGACGGCCTCGTTGAGCACCTGAGGGACAGTCCGAGAGGATATCATCGTCATCATCATCATTTGTACTGTTGGTGTTTCCTCTGCAGCCATTAAACAGMCAAAACCATCTGAATCAGACTCGCGTTGTCGCTCTTAATCATCATCTCGATGTTGATATTCAGCCACTTCTCTCTCTCTCTTTTTTTACGATCGACTCATTGCAGTCGATATGAATAAGTGCGCTTTCACCGCCTCCCTTTTTCCTGAACCTAAGTTTATGTTTGCCATTCTTCATCTAAATGCAAATGGATTGTTTATGGGTGCTCTAAAATATGAATAGTTGTCTGTGCGTTTACTGTATAATGAGCGCTCGCAAGAGCCGTTTTTTTTTGTCACAATCCATTAACTACGACTGTATGCAAACAAGGTYAGAGAGTGGGTGCAGGCTGGACAATAAAGTCGACTGACAGCTGCTGAGAAAACCCGGGGAGAATAAACAAGTAGCTGCGGTGAGCCAAGGCCGTTAAATACCCGGTATCAATTCACAACAGAATTGACCTACCCGAGCCAGATTAGCGGCGCCGTGCATGTTCACACAACATTTTTATTAGAGTTAAACGTAAGAGAAACTGGATGCTGCCTGAAATCGAGGTTGCGGACTCTCTTCGTTCATTAGACGAGTGCAGCGGGGTCTGGCTGGAGAAGCCGCTGGAAAATGGCAGCGTGTTGTTGCTCACTGTTAAGCAGCAGGAATATTAACGAGGAGAAAGTTGACGTGTTGTGGAAAAACTGAGCAACAGATTTAGAGTTTTTGTTTTTCCAGTTGTAGACTTAGCATCCCAAAACACCTTTACGTTTACTGCCTTCCACTCAAGAAGTAAAGCAGTTAGTGCTGTACCAAACKATTATTTTCTAATCGATTAATCTAACGATTATTTTTTCGATTAATCGATTATTCTAACAACAAATCTATAAGTTATTCTGATGTGAGTGCACTGAAGAAAGAAATACTAGACGTTTAATTTTATTTTAATGAATGTTGCAAAAAWTTTTAAAGCCCAATTGTTTTAAAAAGGCCTATATTTCAATTAAAAACCATATGAATTGAAAAGGTTGGTTCTTCAGCTCTGGAGCGAGCCACGGGTTGTCGCCTCTGTGTCTTTCAGCGCTAATGATAAGCTAAGAAAAGCTAATCATTTCTGTGCTCGAGCTCAGAAATACAGCATGTTAATTAGCAAGCATCCAGGGCTTTTCCATTACTGAGCCAGACCTTATTCCATAATGCTAAGTTAATCACCTGCTGGCAGCAGAGTCATTACAGACATGACAGTGGAGTCACTTCCATCAAGGTTATGCTCAAACACTGAGACAAAAGACTAGTCAAGGAACCATTTGACTGAATTTCTCCAGGCGCTTAGCAACTCTCATTTCTGAAAGTGGAAGTTGGGGTGGTTTATACAAATCTCTGTTTTTAAAGTGCTATARCAATCACAAGTTAATGCCAAAGATTTATCAAGGTTTTGGTAAAAAAAAAAAAGCCAATTTGGTGAGTCTAGACTAGAAAAAGAAGTGGCAGAAGAAACATGGAACGTTGTAATCATCATTTTATGCATGCACTGTGTAATTTTCCTGGCACTTAAATTGGAGGACTAATCAAAATGCAGAGCGTACTTAAAGAGCACTCCTGTCACCCCTGCTTTAGTGGAATATGCACACTCTGAAATGGTCAGTCGCCTCTCTCTCAGATGATAGACCCCATCTTTCATTCCTTCTTTTTTTATGCTGTAAAGTACTTTTCAATGAAAAAAAACTGCTTGATTTGATGGCCACTCTTAAACATCCTCTAAAGAGAACTCGAATATAAACCGCTGCTGCATCAACAGATGAAGATGACGGCTACATCCATACCTTTTATTTTAATGCATCGTGCAGCAAATATACATAAATTACATGTTTATGAACTCATTCTGATCTGCTTTGTTGCTTAGCTACATGATTTTATAGGCGTGACTGTAAAGCTCGTTATGCATATGCACCCGTTTGAGGCTGCTATAACGTACACAGACATGGTTTCTGGTGCTGAAAAGTGGATCGTTTTGATAAAAATAAGCATTTGATATCTGCATAGACATCTATTATATTGTCTGTTGCACCTGAACCAACACAAGATCAGCTTGAAGAAATTTATAGTTTTTACAGATTAGTACTGATGTTAAAAGCACAACACTATATTTTTAGGTTTTCCTTTTTATAATGGTTAATCTATAATGTGTTGATTGATATAGATTAGTTACATGTCCGAAATACTGTATCTATTACAACACTTATTTATCCGTTATGAAAACATCAGGGAAGAATTGTGTATGAATGCCTGTGATTCAGCCGTAGGTCAGTAGGGGGCGAACACGGGCATTGAAGACTCTGCATAAATGGATCGATTTCCGGGTTGACCGGCAGTGTGTGGTTTCCTGTCAGAACCGAATGGCATTAAATCCTCACTCCCAGAATTCTGGTTTTGTATGGTTTTATCTTGTCTAACAATCATCTTTTGTAACATTGGTGGTTTTCTACTGACTTCGGTCTTTGAACACGAATATTCTTACAATTAATTTCAGTAAACACAACCAGAGTACCCAGAGAAAACCCACGCAAGCACGAGGAGAACATGCAAACTCCACACAGAAAGACCCCAGGTCCGAACCGGGGATCGAACCCAGGACCTTCATGCTGTGGGGCGTCGGTGCTAACCACTGAGCCGTCGTGCTGCCGATCTCGTGAAATCTTTGTTTAAAAGTTTTAGCCTGCAACACAGCAGCTTTCTAGAAATGCTAGTTTCATTTTCCAAAGTTTTGATGTTGATGATAGGCTGGATCAGTCAGCAGCAGCATCTGATCAATATGTGATCCATGATGTGATGTTATTGTAACATTTTCTACATATAGGTAAAATTAATCACTGCAATAAAATAACTGTCTGTTTTTGTCATTTTTACAGTGGATTGCATCAACTCTGTTACATAAAGAAGGGAAACTTCACCAAAATGAACCATAAATCTGTGGATCTGTGTTTGATTACTCTGACTGGATTTCTCAGGGACCAGGATGTGACACAAAAATCAGAATTTTGGAACTGAAAGTGAAAGTGAAAGCAGTCAAACTGAATAGACCAAAATACAGTTTCAAAGCAAATTAATTCAGATATAAATTTTAAATTCAGTTTCAATTTAGTGGAATTTATTTTCAAACCAATGCATTTAATTTCATATTATGCACATTCAGATTCAATCTGAACAATTCAAATTCAGTTCCTGCTGGCACAAGATTTATCCCGTAAAACACCACATTGTATAAAAGGACAAGTATTGTCTTTGTATTGAATCATAAATGTCTCATTTAAAATTGATTTAGTATCATTTTTATATTAAATTTAAAAAATAACACTTTTCCACAAATTATTATTATTTTTCTTCTATTGGTGGGCCAGACGAAAGTCCCCCCGCGGGCTGGATGTGGCTGTAGTGTAATTTGTGTAACACAGTACTGAATTTTTGATGAAACATGTTTCTAGTTAAATTACAACATTCATGCAATTTCATTTTCACTAAAGTAGCATCCACATTTTTTTATTGTAGGAGCAAAGTCAAAGATGTAAAAAAGCACACTGCTTATTACTGTTATTATTATCATTATTATTTTCAGGAATTGTAAAGTCCGTTTTATCTTTCCAAGGACAGTAATGAATAGCTGAGCTAGTGAAAAATCTTGTGTATAATTTTCTTTTTAGTCAAGAGGAACAGCTCAACTCTCCCAGACTTTGTTGTATTTTGTGAGTTTCTATCCATCAGACATAAAAATTTACACTCTACAAATTAATAAGCAATTTAGTTTTTTTTTAATTAGGATTATTATTATTTTTTAATTATTATTATTATTTTTAGCTGTTTCAGTTCAGTTTAGAACAAATCCCACAAACAACCAAAAACCTCGACTGCATCTGAAAGCTTCCAGGCTGCTCCGACAAAACGGCACAAGTGGGATTCAGTTTGCTCACAGCGGCTCGGTGAGGTTCTCACAAGCGATTTGGGGGAGTGTGTGCATATGTGAGGCCCCTCTGCTGTGTAGTTATAGTTGTGGGACTGCAGCCAACACGGATGCTCCCAGATGGGCCCTCCGTTTGTGTGACATTTTCCACACTGAGCTCATTTTACAGAACAGATTACAGAAGTTGTGTGAATAATAATAATAAAAAAATAAATAAAATAAAAAGCTGAAAAATTAGCTTTGGATCTTTTTTTTTCATTTTCAGTTTTGATGATATATCTTTTGGTCGGTGATAAATTAAAACAGATGGTTTCTTAACTCGGCACTAAATTTTTTTTATTAATTTTCTTTTCTGGACGCAGCATTTTTCTTTCAACCTAAAACAACATGAATTCTTTATTTTTTTTTTCTTCTCAAGAGTGTGAAACCACAAACCCTTCAGTTTGGATTGTTAAAATCGCTGCTCGCTGGCTCTGGTGCACCGACATTAAAACAAGACAAATGTTTCACCCACTCTGACTGAGAACAATTCCGCTGCATTTCTATTACCATCCTCCTCCACCACCTCCTCCTCCTCCCTTTTTATTTAACAAAGCTGCTCTTCAGCTCACAGTGGGATTAGCATCGGTGACGAAACCATTATAGCTGTACTGGGAGCGCGGGACGAGTCAGTGGGCTGTAATATCATTAAAACATTACAGGGGAGGAGGAGGCTCAGAAGGAGGACAGAGATGTTTAAATATATATATTATAT